TAGCCAATGACCACAGCCCAGGTCCAGGATAGAAAACAAAGTCCACATAGCTCTTGAGGACCTGGCTCTCAGCTGAACCCCAGCAGAAGTGTTAGTGAAACCAAAGGCTCCTCAGAGAGAAAGCTTTAAGCTTGAGAAAGGTCATTTGCCATCAAAATGACTATAGTAGTAGTGACAGCAGCAACTGCAGCATTAAAAACAGTATCATCTACTATTGAGAAAGAAAAAAAGCCCAAGAGAGAAAAGAGTGAGTCAGGAGTAACAACTCGGATCCTGAAGCCCTTCTTCACAAGCTAAAAAAATACTCACCCCTGAGTCTCTGTCTTTTCCAGGGCCAGCTTGGAAAATATTCACTCACTTAACACCCAGTTGGTCAACTACAGGATTTAGGGTGAAGAATAGTTCCAAGCCAAGCTTGCCATATACTCATGAGAAGTGAAGCACCCCCACCCCTGGAAACTTTCATACAGCCCAGCAAGTCTTCCCCTACTTGACTCATCATAATTCTAAAAAATAAAATAAAATATGAGATTAAGATAACCAGTTCCCCTCTCTTAAGCCCACTGAGCATCCTTCTCTTGACAAAAGTGGAGTGGTAGAAGATGAGTCAGCAACCTCTGAACAACATTTTTGGCAGAGGCCTGGAGTTTTCCTTTCTCCACTAACCCATCATTTCTGCTCCACTTTCATGCTCAGGGGTCTGTCAGGTTGATCATAAGTTCCTCATCCTGATGGTGAGGCCAGGCAATGCCATATTCCTCCTTGATATCTAGTCTCACAGTCCCTTCCAGAGATATCCCTGTGGGAAATTAATAAGCTTAGGAAGAGGCTGTCCATCTGTTTCACTGGCATCCTCTTGTCTTCTCGGGCTTTTGCCCTTTCGCCATGAATTGCCACACTCTTCTGACAACCAAGCCTTTGCCGGTGCATGCTTTGGAAATAGGGTTAGAAGGGGGTAAACCATGACCTAGAAAGATATAGAGAAAGAAAAACATGTGTTTTCATTCTTACGGGGTAAAAATCTCTTGAGCTATTCTTAGTGATCGACCTGCCTCCTATCACAGAAGTCAAGATATTTGGGGTCCCATATTTTGACCCTGGAAGGAGAAAGGGCATTCTCATTCTAATAGTCACTGAGAATCAGATCTCCTCTCTCACCCTCTATCCACTCTCTCACTTAGGTCATAAAAGGCATACCTCGGAAATCATTCACCAATTACTTTTCAGCCTTCTCTTCCAAAGCAATCCTGCAGTTTCTTACACGTGTATTCTTTACAAGGAGTGCAAGGAACCTTGCTAAAGTGGAACAAGGTGAGCATACCCACTCTTCACTGTCATCCTTCTAATCTCTTAATTGGAAATACAGTCCCAGGGAAGAGTGCTACAAGTAAACGCATAAACCATCATTCCGTGTGAAGTACATAAAACTATTGACTGAGATCCATTTCTCTAGTACCCTCTGAGGCAGGACAGATATCTCAGCCCTTCATTCAGTACCCATGAATTCCAGTTAGTAATGGTGAAGCCTGATTTCAAAGTAGTGTACGCACCATTTTAGCCCATACATTTCTAGAGAAATAAAAATATTTCTAGGTTTTCTTCATCTCCTAATAATTGTCATTTAAACCATTTATATTACCAAACAAAATGTGACTTTAAAGACTGAAAAACCCTCCAAGTAAGAATTGCAACTTAATCTTATTCACACTTTTTGGCATGTCAGTTCTTTAACCTATAGCAAGAAGAGTAAGTTGGATTCATAAAAATATGAGAAATGCTTTTGTTTAAGGATCTTTGCTTGAAAGCAGGAGGATAAACACAACTAGAGGCCCAAGAATTGAATCTGAAATGAAGGCCCCTTGCCCAGATTCTCAGTAACTCTCACCCCTCTCAGATGTACAGACGGTCAGGCTCTCTTACTCACTTTAGGTACCAGAAACATTTTCTACAAACTAGACTCAGAGTTTTAGTACCTCCAGGGAGACATAGTCTAAATGCTCTCTGTATTTTTAATAAGAGAAAAGCTAGACACAAGAAAAGTGCCTTCTATGTAATTTTTTTTTCCTGAATGCCCACATCCTGGGGAGATGCTTTTATATTCACAATATGTAAGAGGTTTTTCTCAAGTGTCTTGCATGGAAAAATGACTTTTCCTGGGAAAGATAGACCTCCTATTCCCTAAATAGCAGCAAAAGAAAACACTGAGAAGTGTTCTGTCCAACAGGGTGATCTTCCTGAACATCAACCCCCACTAACCAGCGAACCACACTGTGTGTATCCTAGGGACCACAACGCTCTTATGACTACTTCTCTGTCTTAACCTGTATCTGTTTACACCTGTGCCTCTACTGCCATTTCTTTTTCTTCTTTCTTTTATTTTGAATTATCTCAAGTATCTTACCACTATTCTTCAACCCCAAGGGTTATTTTCCAGATATTTGAGACAATTATTTTGACATTTCTAATTCTCTCACCTTTAAACAAGTATGGGTGTGGTGGGCAAATCCTTTCATTTATGTGCATACTGTGTGTGTGTGTGTGTGTGTGTGTGTGAGAGAGAGAGAGAGAGAGAGAGAGTCAGAGAGAGACAGACACATATACAGAAAGAGGGGATGAGATTTAATGTCCAATGGAACAGCCAGTTGTAAGACAACTGGTACCTAAGTGCAGCTGCAGATTCTTATGCACAGACATGAGAGCCCTTACTGCACCGAGCTTTGGTCATTGGGAGTCACTCTTAGCCAAACTATGTAAAATTTCACATCCTTGCATAAGATGAAATACACCTTAAGATGAAACAAAACTGCAATCCAATAAGTTTTCTTTGAAAAGTCAGTAACTCATTTGGAAAATAAGGGATGATTCTTCACTTGTCCTCAATATATGGAGATTTTACAGCCCTTCTTTCTCCCAGCTTAATCCTAGGCAGTGACTTTGTCTGATCAAAAAGACTCAGAACTTTTGTGGGGTGCTGACAATAAAAAGAAGGAACACAAATGCACACATGGGAGAGAGGAAAAGAGAGGGAAGGAGAATCAGAGAGAGGAGGGGGGAGAAATAGAGAGAGGAGAGAAAGAAGAGAGGGGGAGCAGAGAAAGACAGAGGGATGGGAGAGAGACAGAGAGAGAAGAGAGAGGCAGAGAAAGGGGAGGGAGAAGAGAGAGAGGGAAGGAGGGGAGAGAGAAAGAGAGAGGAGCAAGTGAGAAGGGAGAGGGGTGTGGAGAGGAAAAGGGGAGAGGGAGAGGGAAAAGAAAGAGAAGAGAGTTAGAAGGGAGAGGGGAGAGGAAAGGAGGAGAGAGGGAGAGAGAGGAGAGAGTGAGAAGGGATGGGGGAGAGGAGAGAAGAAAGGAAGAGGGAAGAGGGAGGGAAGAAAGAGGTAGAGAAAGAGAGAGGAGAGAGGGAGGGAGGGAGGAGAAAGGGGAGAGAAAGGAGAGAGGCAGAGAAAGAGAGAGGAAAGAGAAAAGAGAGAGGGAGAGGAGAGAGAGACAGGTGTACCAAGAAAGAGAATTCACTTATCTCCTTTGAACCTGCTGGACACCCAAGTCTCCTGGGCAGAATCTTCTTCAATCTCCCTGGACTGCAGGTATCTGTGCATGCCACGCCCCCTCCCCACACGAGAGAGGTCTCAGAGCTTCCAGGGCATCACTCAAACATAGCAGCTTCTCCTTCTCTCCCCCCCCCATTCCAACCCTGGATGGAAAGGAGGCATCTCCTCGAACTGTGGCTCTGGCTCTGCTTCCTCCACTTTAGTCAGCAACTTAATCCGGTTAATCCTAATGTTGTCAGGCTGCCCACGGCAAAGTGGTGGTGGTGTGGGTGGGGCTGAGGGAGTGGAGGGGCTGACTGCATCACTCAAGGCCTTTCTTCCCTTAGGAGTTGAGTACTGAACTGGGTTGGGGGTCCCCCAGTGAGATTGTGCTGCTGCCTCTGCTAAAGGCATCAAAGTTCAGGCTAAGACCTCAAGTCATGAGCACCAGCTGCTGCGCCAGGGCCGCGCCAGCGCCTCTGAGTGGCTGAAAGTACAAACAAGGCTCCCAAGACAGCCTCGGGACTCCACTCGCCCTCACCCGCTGGACGGGAAAGCCCTCCGGAGCCCATCTCGGTGACCGTCTTTACTTTGAATCACCACCCTCCCAACAACTCCAAGGTCTTAGAGCCCTCGCTATGAAGTCCCCTCTCCCTGCCCACTCTCCACTCCCAGCCCCCCAACGCGCAAAAGGCACCAAGTCGATCGAGGGTGAAAGAGCAGTAACAGCTTAATCCAGCAACCCAGGCTTTTCCCACCCACGCGCCCTTTCCCACCCACAAACCCTTGTCCTGGGACCAGGAGACACCTTCACGTCCCCTTCCGAGATCTGAGAGCGCCCCCACTCTGTCCTCTTACCCCATCTCCTGGGCCACGGGAAGGCTGAGGCAACTTCTCACCAAAGCGCATCTTTTCTGAATTTCGCACGGGAGGGCTGGGTGAAGCGAGCGCTCCGGGTGAGAGCTGTTCCTCCCCTCCCCCCGCTAATCCCCCGATGCAACTTGCTGCGAAAATCGGCAGCGGCTCGAGGACCAGAGAACCCCTCGGGGCTAATCCGCACCCCTCTCCCCTTCACGGAACTCAAACTCGGGGGAAATCCGCGCGAGTCCGCGCGCGCTGAGTGTCCAGCTCTCTGCCGTGCGTTCTCCGGGTGCCTCGTGGAACGGGAAAGGCCCTCTCCAGTCTCTGTGGTGCCTTTCCAGTACCCCTCCTAGCAGTCCCAGAAGCCCCAAGATGCAGGAGGAGGCGGGCTGGGCCCTGTCAGAGGCATTGCCACCCGGGGAAGGCGTTGCCACCCGGGGAAGGCGCTCAGGATCTGCAGGGCGCGGGCAGGCCCGGGAAGAGGCTGCGAGGCAGGCGGCGCCGGAGGGAGCGCCCGACCCAGCAAAGAGTTAAAGGGAGGGGACGTGGGCTGTCACGCGTCATTGGGCAGATTATGTGCAGCAAACAAAAAGTGTGTGTCTGCGTGCCAGTCAGTCACTGCATCGGGTCCATCTGTACAACTCTCTCTGCTTCTCTCTCTCTCCCTCTCTCTCCACCCCCCTCCTTTTCTCCCTGTCTCTCCGTCTCTCTCTTCTCTCTCCAGGCTGAGCCTACAAGACAGCAACACCAACACCTCTTGACATGGAAATACATTGATACAATAGGGACCAGAAGCCTCGTGCATCTTCCCGGCTCCAGGTGGCCTTATTCGGAGAATCTACCCTGACCTTATTCCTGGTGAGTCTATTTGCATTGACGTGGGAGGGGGATGGGAGAAAGGCAGGTTGGGTGGGAAGAGTAGAAAATGCTGCTTCCGTCCCCTCGCTGTCCCGGAGAGAGAGGAACGGTTGCG